CCGGTGCTCCAAGTTGCTCATAATAGATGGAAACAAAGGTTCAATTATATCAACCTCATTCAGCCGACAAAGGAATCTCAAAGTAACTCCACGAATGTACTCATTTGGATGCTGCAAGTTATTCCTCAAGTTCTGACAAATTAGGACCATTTCAGGCAGCATGCTCCCCTTAGAATCGGTCTTCTCAATAGTCTCCAGATACAGAAGCAGCAGCTTTTGAATCGTGTGATCCTCAGAGGGCAAGACATATCTAATAATAGTAATAAATAGCTGGGGTAGTGTTTCACCATTCAACAAAAGCATGACGGCCTTCTTCATAGCATCAACCTTGGCAGGAACATCATTCCCTTCGAGGGCTTCCTTGATCTCATTGACAAGAGCTGGTGTCCCCTTATCAAAGTGTATCAGCAAAGAACAGGACTTCTCCATTTTATTCTAGTTGCTTACCTGAAACTTAAAGTTTCCCATAAGCTTCAAGATAACATATTATAACTTTTGATAAGAGAGAATAAAGTTGCAAAGGTCAGAAAAGAGTCCAACTTTAGTTTAGTCAAAACATTTAAATTACTCTAAGGCAGTTCAATATAAAGAACTACTCAACAATGATTCTTTGATTATAAATGAACAAAGCCATTCAGAAAAGTCAATTTTTTCCCATGGGGTGTCATCCAGTGTCAATGAAGTGGGAGGAAAACCATGATGCCTCAGGTTCAAATCTCAGCGAAGGAAAAAAAAAATACTACCTATGCCTCGCTTCCAACGCAGGAGGCCAAGCATTCTGCCAGACGTCCCGGCCTGGGAGCCCCGTTCGCCTTTGGTACTTCAGTAGATCTTCTAAAATAAAAAGCGCTACTTCAGCCTTAACTACAACTACATTACGCAAGCCCCGCCGATACCTACCTATAGAGTCAAATTAAAATAAAAAAGTACCAGTGACGGCGACTTTCTAGGTTTATGGATTCAGTCAGCTAAACTCCATCAAACTCCTCAANCAAATTAAAATAAAAAAGTACCAGTATGCCTTGGTGGACAGAGTTACACGATCCCTGTGCTAGTGGGAGGTAGCAGGCACCCGGTGGACTAGTCGAGGTGCAGGGAAGCTGGCTCAGACACCACCGTCATTAAAAATTAAACTTTTAACAAAGTTTGTTAGATTTATAATAAATGTTACCAGCAGAATGAGGAGGTACAGCGGTATTAGATCACCACAGCCTAGTACCAGATTTTACTCTTCCACAAGTCACATCAATACTCAAATCACACTGCAGGGGCGGAAACGCATGGAAAATGTCAACCAATCAATCAATCAACAATGTGCAATTCCAAATTAGATGGAGTAACGCTATTTGAATCAGGCATACAGCGAGCTCTATGCATCGGGCATCAAGCTAAATGATACAAGTGAATCACCCAACACTTTTAATCCAAAAATTAATCAATATCATTAATGCTCAGCTCAGCATAGGCGGATCTAACCCTTCCCAACAAGTTTGGTTCAGGCATATTTGTCAACCAATCAATCAAATGTGGATTAAAATGTCAACCAATCAATCAAATGTGAAAATGTCAACCAATCAATCAATCAACAATGCGCAATTCCAAATTAGATGGAGTAACGCTATTTGAATCAGGCATACAGCGAGCTCTATGCATCGGGCATCAAGCTAAATGATACAAGTGAATCACCCAACACTTTTAATCCAAAAATTAATCAATATCATTAATGCTCAGCTCAGCATAGGCGGATCTAACCCTTCCCAACAAGTTTGGTTCTGAGCCCTCTGCTTTCAACTCGGATTACATTTTAAATAAAAACATATATAAATAAATGTGCAAACATAATACTAGTATACTACTTCCGAATCTACCGACTCCGAATTGTAAACTAAACAGTGCAGTTCGGCGGCATAATTCAACAAGACAAATAGCCCTAACAATCAAATTCCGTAAAATAAAACAGAGAAACAAATCTAGAATGAGAAAAAAATGACTTACCGGATAGAAATGCAGAAATGGTTGAATCGAAGTGAATCTTTTGAAGAGAATTTGGTAATGAGGAATTTGTGGGTATTTGAGGGTAAGGTTGGAAAAGGGGAGTCGGGAGAAATGGTGATCGGAGGGTGGGTGGTTTTAAGGAGGGAGAAAGTTTGGTGTCTTTACTCAGATCTGCGAGATCCGCAGAGTGAGTCTGGTATTTTGTATTTGTAACGAGTCTGGAGCAAAGCTTAAAAACTACTGTAAGAAAAAACATAAAATAAAATAAAAAGATTAGCTTATTAAGAACAAGAAAAAGAGGAGAAATATTATTGTTTGATTAGCCTCACATAAAATACAAAAATATGGATCACCCCTCATAATTTACACTTTGAAATATAGAGTCTAAGTATTCGAATTTGTAATGAGGATGAGATTGTGAATTCTTGGCAATTGAACTGTCGCATTAGATATTTACATTAATGTTTGTATATTTTTATCAATGTTTCACCATTTCATAATTTGTTTCATATTTTCTAATGTCATAGACATCACTAGGTACAATTATAATTCAAGTTATCGGCACATTGGTCACACTCTATTTCCCAAATTAATTAGATTAAACATCTCTATACATAGAGAGTTTTACATAGTTTGACATAATATATGCAGCTCCAATCTCAATTTATGGTCTTAGCATTTCAATACATGATTCATATTCCTTGCACCATTTTTAAGTTATCAAGAATAGCGCATTGATCATATTGGAATGCATCTTTCACAAATATAGGGTCACAACACCAATTCATGTAAAGTATCAATCAAAGCAAGAATCCAAAATTCAGTCTTACCACATTTACACAAGCATCAATATAGCTCAATTTCTAAAACACGGGATTTTAGCCGTACATACCTTGTTTAAGCTTTCCTTAAGTTACTACAACGTTCCGAAAATTCTAGCAATTCCAATCTACTTTGAGACATAAGAAAATTGAACACAAATTAGGTAGGTATTCATGGTTTTAGCTCATTTGAGAATTTTATCAAATACTAGTTGAGCATCTTGATTTCAAATCTCTTTTACAAGGTTTCCTTCATTCCCCAACCGAATCTTTACTTATTTATGTTCAACAATCTTTTCACAAACCTAATTTGTAATTGCAATATAATATATTTTTCGAATTTATGTCTGGTACTTTAATATTTTTATAGTTTTTCGGTAAAATATATAATATCTTTAACCTTGTCTATTTGGTCTATTTCGATCCGTTCTTATATGAATGTAAGTCATTTTAAGTATGTTAGATCAAATTCCTTATAACTCCAAAATATTGACTTAAATAGAATTAGGTCTTACTATTTGGGAGGATTGCTTGTTTGTATAAAATAAGCTTCGCCATTTAAAAGTATAGCTTAAATACACACCTCAATCTTCAGGAAGACGCACAAAAAAATCCGTTTTTTCTTCTAGATATACGTGTATAAGGGGTTAGATTTGGAATTTTAAGTCAGTGCATATAAAGTAGATGTGAACCAATTTCTTTCGGATAATAGTTTAATTTATAATACACAGTTGAGCTTCCTCACATCACTACCATTATATATATATGCAAATAATATATATATGAGATAATGCATAAGTGCATTGTAAGAGAGAAAACTCTTTATTTTATTTATGTCATTAACTTTTTGGCTTCTTGTTTTGGAGGCATATTTTCTTGATACCTACTGTAGACAATAAATTTGCGTTGAGAAAATAAAATTAAGACCGAAAATATCGCAACAATTGTAGTATTTGATTTCAAATAATATGAGTATACAATCTCTATGATTCCTATAATTCTATTTTCGATAGTAAATAAATTCAAGGGCCTTTGAGCTTGATGAATATGTAGTTGTTGCCACGAACGATGATCTTGTTCTTGAGCTTGAGCTTGGACTTGAACTTAATTTGATCTTCGTTCTTGAGCTTGAAATTGATTTGTTCTTTGTTCTTGAGCTTGAATTTGATTGCTTGAACTTGAACTTGATTGCTTGAAGCTTGAAACTTGTGGAGGAATTTGCAGCGTTTGATCTACGAGCTCTTTCTTGCTTATGTTACAACTTCTGGTATCTTTTCTGGGTTATGAAAACCCCTATTTATAGTTGTGGAAGGGAGGAGTCATGATAAGAACAAACTTTTTCCAACCAATCAAATTGAAGTGTGACATGGCCGCATTTGATTGGCCATAACATGTCACTTGCACACGTGGCGCGATTTCATTAGCCTTTTAATGTGACTTGGCATGCCTTGTCATTTTGACACGTGGCATGATCCTGTTGGCTCTTCCGCTTAACTTGGCACGCCATGTCATTTGACATTTGGCACCAAACTGGGCCTCTAGGAAAATAACATTTTGGGCTTAATGAAGTGGGCTCATCAATTTAGCCCAATTAAATGGGCTAGTCCAATGGATTAAGACTTATTTATTTAATCCATTTATATTGGACGTATATAATTAATTCAATTATATTAGCCCATAATATATATTTGGACCAATATATCTTGAATTTAAAATATAGTCCAAATTATTTTATGGATTTAATTTTAATAAAATTTATATACCTACAAATGCCCCTACTTCAAACTTGTTGTGTGAATTTAAAAGACTAGGCTTGAAGTAAAAGAACTATGATGGAAAACATCCCATGCAGCTTCTAGCAATGTCCATTTTCAATATATTTGACTTGAATAATGGAATTAAGCTAAACCACATTGATGCCATCATCATATTCTTAGGATATTTTTTCCGTAGTTCACTAAAAATAGAACTAACATTGTCCTCTTTTCAATTTGCATATGTAAGCAAATTCCACCACCGTAACCTTTTCTTCTAGTTGAATTAGGATATCAAATCCTTGTTGGACTCTAACAAATTTCCAATCCCACATCGCCATTAAACTTCCAGTATCGTTTCACCACTTCTATAAATAGCTGCATATCCATTCAATAGGCATCAATCGCAGTATTTTGAAGCCATTAGCCATTTGAGTCTAGTTTTGTGGACTCGAAAGCATTGACGCGAAGGTAATTTCTTCTTCTTTTCTTTTGCTTTTCTTCTTTTGTCATTTTTTGTAGGTCAAACAAGAAGGATGTGTCCTTGTTTAATGAGATGATCCATGCGTGAAGAAGACCATCATAGGATGTGAGGGATGGGTACTCATCCTTGCCCGAATATCGGAGAGATTACTCTCATGACCCGACTATCGGAGAGATTACTCTCATGACCCGACTATCGGAGAGATTACTCTCAAAACGACCCGACTATCGGAGAGATTTCTCTCAAAACGACCCGACTATCGGAGAGATTACTCTCAAAACGACCCGACTATCAGAGAGATTACTCTTAAAACGATCCGACTATCAGAGAGATTACTCTCAAAATGACCCGACTATCAGAGAGACCAACTTAAGGTGCAAAGGGACTCATATGTCCACCTTAAGATTGGAAAGTTATAGTTCCTTTTAAGGACAAACCCACGAAGAGGCCAACTTAAGGTGCAAAGGGACTTAAATGTACACCTAAAGATTGAAAAATTATAGTTCCTTTTAAGGACAACCCTACGAAGAGGCCAACATAAGGTGCAAAGGGACTCATATGTCCACCGTAAGATTGAAAAGTTATAGTTCCTTTTAAGAACAAACCCACAAAGAGAACGACTTAAGGTGCAAAAGGACTTATATGTCCACCTTAAGATTAGAAAGTTATAAAGCTTCAACTCAAAGACTTCATGGACTTGATGACGTCGACTTGAACACTTGGAAAACTTTGAAGATTCGGCGGACTTTGCAGAATTCAACTTGAAGACCGACAAACTTGGAGATTCAGCGGACTTTGATGTTTCAATGTGAAAAATTTGAGGGCTCAAATACTTCCACTTGAAGACCGACGAGTTTGAGGACCTCAACTTGAAGACTTCAACTTGACCTGGAGGGCTTAGATATCTCAACTTGAATGGTGGCGAACATGAAGATTTCAACTTAAAGACCGACGAACTTGAAGATTTCAACTTGGAGACTTCGATGGCTTAACTGTTTCAGCTTCTCTTTTGCTTTACATTGTCCGACTTTTATCTTAGTCGCATAATTTTCAGCTTTAAGCGCTTGAAACAAAAGATTCATATTTTATCGTGGGAGAGTCCAAATAATGAACCATTTAATTTCTCGAAAACTAGACTTCAATATCTAAAATATATCCAAAAATTAGAATCAAACACCTTCAGAATCGCCCCAAATAATATTTTGAAATCAACTTTAGATTGCACTACGTTGAAAATTTCATATTTGCGCAGTCTCACCAAAAAATTCATATCATGGTGTAGGAACGTCGAAATTACAAACTGGTTGACTTCTTGAAAACTAGACTTCAAGATCTAGGACATATCCAAAATTCTTAATCAAACAACTTCAGAATCGTCCCAGATAATATTTTGAAACCAACTTTATATTGCACCATGCTATCAATTCCAGATTTGCGCAGTCTCACCAAAAAAATTCATATCTTGGTATGGAAGCCTCGAGATCGGAAGATTACTTACTTGCCATCAATCAAAATTTAAGAGCTATATTCTCACAAATATCTTGAGTTCAAGTCTCATTGAATTTGAAACGTTGTGCCAAGTAATCTTTTCCTTATACTTGTGTTTCCTTTTGACGTCTCTCTTCTCTTTCCTTTTTTTAAGGCAGAGGGCGGACTTGGAGACCAACAAACTTGAAGGTTTGGCGAACCAGAAGACATAGAGAATCCCTAGACTTTAATGCAAATACTTGACCTCCCACTGAAGATATCAATTTACCATGGAGGGTTTCCCCCTTTAAATCAAATGAGATCAAAGTTCAACAGGAGGATGGCATTTCAGCTTGATCTTACATTCACCCATACTTCATTCGAACGACAATTGGGCAATATGTATCTTTTGAAATTATGCGACTGAACTTAGAATGAAACTCTAAGCTGCCTACGTACCTTGGTGAAGGGGATCAAGTCATACCATAGTTCAAACTAGGTGATTTTTTTATGTCCTAACTTTTTCCTAGGCCGCCTCTTTCAAAGTTTTCAACCTAGCGGACTCTTTTNATACTTGTACGACATATGGCCCATCCCATTTTGAAGTGAACTTCCATACAGGTTTATGGGAAGTAATTATGGGTCTTCGTACGACAAGGACTTGATCTCCTACTTGAAAGGATCTCGGGCGAACTCTTTTATTGAAGGCGCGAGACAATCG